TTAGGCCTAGATATTGTAAATATTCAGGCATTGTTGAGCAATGAGTGCTTAATAATTTGCACCAAAAATTGTCATGATTAGTTATTGCAATTTCTCCTCTCTTTATTTTTTCTAAATAAAATAATGTCTTTTAAGGTTTAGGCAAATTGCTGAGTCGTGGACTTGATGGATATGTTCAAAGGAAAGAAAATGGGTCCTACTATAAGAGGGGAAAAAAAAACAAAGTAAGTGCAACCTTTTTACATTTTCCAATTTTGACACCTTCTCAAGCAAGGCTTAAGAATATTTTACCCTCTATATATTAATAGAGGAGACACTAGATAAAAATCTTATGTATTATCTTAAAAGAATTTTAAGGAATTTATTTTCTAATAAAAATTATTAAAAATTTTTAATAACAAATATATAAAAATAACGAATATGTGGTAAATTAATATAGATTATTTTATTTAAGAAATATTGAAAATATTTAAAAATATCTTATTTTCAATAATACTAAATTTTTTTATCCGAGTCAAAAACGGTATTAAAATATTCAAAAACAAAAATTCATGATTATTTTTAATAGATGGGAGAAATAAAAAATAACAAAGATAAAATATATTTTTATGTTTGATCAAAATTTAGTTTTATTATATGTATGCACAATACATATCATTTTGTGTGTTTATAAATGTTAGAATACAAGTCTAAATATTAAATTCGATTAAAAATATATTTAATTATTTATGTTTGGCGTGGGTCAAAATCTAGTTATATCAAATTTTAAAGATGAATGATATTTACATTGCTACATATTTATTTGCAACTTGCTTATAAGATGAGGTTACGATTGAAATTCTGCATATCTCATTTGTTGATCCATCTTGGTTAATCTAAAAATGGTACTTTGTTTATCTTAATTGATTTAAAAAGTGAATGTTTTCACGGACCGTCAAAATATTTTTGCTAAATGGACGATTATTGTGAGTTGGACTAACTAAAAGTCTAAAACTATAATATGCTAGATTTTGTTAAATGGAAGTTTATTCTTACTTCTTTGTAGATCCAACTCTAGTACGTTTGTGCTGTTAGTATGTAAGTCCGTTTTTTTCTTGTGTTTTAATTATCCTTGTATATGTTAATATTTTACAAATCTGTAGATCATGTAAAAGATTCAATAATCCATTTTCCTTTTTCTTAATTAATTTCGCTTTGTTTTAGTATCAGCAGAATTAGGTGTGATCATCTTTCCGTAAGCCATTTAGCATCAAAGTAATTAGGAATTAATCTCAAAGATATCCAATCTAGTTTTGAAGACTTTGGTAGGTCTAGATATTTCAATGGTTATCTCTCTGTTTACTACTTTCACCAATATATGTTTAAAAAAAAAACAAATGTTTGGTGGTGTTTGAAAAAGGTCATATATAATATCTCGTAAGTAAATAGTATACTCCAAAGTGAGAACCTAGCTAATACGTGACTTTAATTTTTTTTTTTGGTTAGAACATCTTTACACATTAAAACAACGGTGTATATTGGTCTCTATACTTTTGATCACGTATTGTATTCATTTTTAACATGCCTGTTAATTAAGATTCGAGATCTGCGGACTGTGCTTGGTTCTAATACTTTCTTTTTTGTTAAAAGATGTTATTATAATACTATTTTATAATGTTGCATCCACTTTTTTGTCTACGAACCTCATCCTCGTCTTATGGTCGATTTGTTATTGGGAATTTATTAAAGCACAAAACTAAACGTTTTTAAAAGATTTTTAAAATCCCCAAATTATTGTTTTCATGTTTTATTCACACTTACACGGTTTCGTTATTTGATAGATCATATATCCTAGAATTACTTTAAGCATCCTACGTTAATGTTTTTTTAAGTAAAGAAAAGCTCATAAACAACTACATACATGCATTAATGTAGTGATATTGGCAGTTAAATTAATTTTTATAATGAATATATTAATTACATACACTAGATCTAACAATGTACACTCATGCAGGTTCCGTGAACTTTCTATTTTGTTAAAGAAAGAATAAATAAAATCAAGTAAGACTACGAGTCCAAAGGGTACTTGATTAATACACAAAAACAA